TATTTAGAGAAATAGAATCATAACTTCATGTAAACAAAAATTACTGAAATTGGGCTGCTTTTAGAAAATAAATAATAAAGAATGCCAGGAGATAATGTAAAATTCAATGCAGCTAATTTTAGGTGGGACATTTGGCAGTATATCAGTGAGATATATATTAGGAAATAAGTGCATATTAGATAATATTAAAGAATAGAGAGAGAAGATTGATCAGAAAATTCAACATCCCTCTTCATTCTGCTGTTTTTGGCAATATGATATTGGTAAAGTTATTTAATTATTCTGGGTATTCATTCCCTCCCTTGTAAAATGAGGGTGAATTATGTGGTCTTCATCATTCACTCCAGTTCTTACATTCTCAAATTTTATAAGCATAGTTACCTGATATGCTGTGAAATATAATTTCAATGATTTTATGTGTAGTGTTATTAATGGTAAAGTTAGTTTCTGTAAAGTGTATTTGTATAACAGATTTTCACATCACATACATGATGCTCCTAAATTCAACATCAGTATTCTAAATATAAGACATAACGTAGAAAAGCAGACTAATAGCATTTAATGCTAATAGAAAACAAGATGTTGTAAAAATGACTGAAGAAGCAATGAAGTAAAAGGCTACCTATCTATGCATGATTTTAGACGTTTTCAAATTTGGTCACAGTGATTTCAAAGAGAATACATAAGTAACTAGTTATTTGGAAATAGCTGATGTCCTTAGCTACCACAGATTTCTATATAAAGTCCGCAAATATGTTAGTAGAAATGATTGTCACTATTCTAACACAGAACCAATTGGATAGGGTTGATCAATAAAAATATTTTAAAATACCTCAATATTGTTAGTCTCATACTAATAAATTTATATTATGTGGTTTCTACTCATCTAAAGAGAGCATAGATATAACGGTTTAATTCAGTACAACAAAAAGAAAATCCTCCTTCCTTTAACCACGCCTGTAAAAATAAATAAATACATTTTGACAGTACCTGGCATGTTTAAAATCTCTCTGTTCTGTAAAGGGACATAATATTTGATGAAAGAGAGTTTTCTCGGTGGAGTCTTCCAGAGGGAGACTTGGTCTTTCTGTCTCTATAACCGATTATCGCCTTAGTAGAGGCTACGGTGGAAAGACTCATTATTAGACATGGTTCTCAGAGCTCAACTTCAGGTGCAAATGCTTTTACATATTTTTAAAGGCATAGAAATTGTCTGATAAATATTAATGTTGAGAAAAAATTGAGTAATAACTCTCTTAATTGACCCCTCTTTAGTCCTAATAATGCTTTTGTTTTCTCAAGTTGTTAGAAAGGAAAAATTAAGTATTTATTTGATGGTTTAGATACAGGCTATTTGCTAAATAATTTTGAACTTTCAAGATAATTTCTTACAGCATAAAGACTGTATTCTGAGTAGCCAGCAGAAGAGACCACTATGTTGAACATAATTTGGTGTTTCTTTTCTCATCAATGAAAGACACTCCTCACGGACATTTTTGTTTTCCTACTTTTGGGGAGTCATTTACTCATATTTCAGAGAAGTGTATGTGTACTTATGAGGACAGTCATGTAAAACGGGAGTTCTCTTTAAGCTTTGCATGACATTCACAGCTGTACTAGGCAGCAGCAGGGAAAGCGGTGACCACCACCACTTGTAAAGCATCTTAACTTACACTCAAGTTGGAAAATAATGTAACCGTGATGCATCAGCATGTAGTCATTTTGATAATTATTTTCTATTTCTGAGTATTATAGGACTCAATGTCTACATATGCAAATAATTTGTTATTGTTGTAATAAATGTGAATAGTTTCAGCTTCCAATTCATTCTCCTATGATATCTAGATAATTGAAAAAAAAAAAAAAATGGCCTGAATGGTGACAGTCTTTATTAAAAACAAATAAAAACAAAAACAACCCAAAGCCAAAAAGCTCATGTAGTAAGAGAAGGCTCAGAATGTGACAGTCTATAATATGTAACCCCAAAGTATTAATACCCTAAAATTTACCCAGCTAGAGCCGTTTCCCAATTTTAATCTCTCTCTCTCTCACACATACACACACACACACACACTCCTATGGAAGGTTAAAAATTTTAATTTAACATTTTTATAGTGCAATATCATAGTATAAAAACTAATAACTGGGACTTAGAGTAAGAACAATGACCTTGAATCACAGTAGAAACCAAGAATTTGGAGCTTGGGGTTGAAACCCAGTCCTATTACTAATTAGCTTGGTGATCCTGAGCAAGTTACTGTATCTGTCTGTGCCTGACAATCCTCATCTGCATAATGGAATTAATGATAATAGCATGTGTTTCATGGGATTATGATCAGTATTAAGGAAGTTAATATTTGTAAAACATCTAGAAGAATATCCCCATATCCTAAGTGCTATATTACTCTTCAAATATAAGTAAATGAAACTAGTAAGTACAGCTATGATATTCAATGAATAAAAAAGAGTTAAAAAAGAGAATGACCTAGACCAGGTCCAGTGGCTCATGCCTGTAATCCCAGGACTTTGGGAGGATGAGGCGGGCAGATCATCTGAGGTCAGGAGTTCGAGACCAGCCTGGCCAACATGGTGAAACACAGTCTTTATTAAAAATACAAAAATTACAGGTGTGGTAGTGCACACCTGTAATCCTAGCTACTCTGGAGGCCTAGGTAGGAGAATTGCTTGAATCCGGGAGGAGGAGGTTGCAGTGAGCCGAGATTGCACCACTGCACTTCAGCCTGGGCAACAGAGCAAGACTCTGACAAAAAAAGAAAAGAATAACCTAATTAAAAAATGGGCTAAGTACTTGAATAGACATTTCTCCAATGAAGACATATGAATGGCCAATGGATACGTGAAAATTGTTCATCACTAATCATCAGTGATATTGAAAACAAAACCACAATGAGATATCACTTCACATCTGTCAGGATGGATAATATGGATAATATCATAAAAACAAAAGGTGAGTATTAAGGAGGATGTGGGGAAATTGGAACCCTTGCACACTGTTAGTGGTAATGCAAAATGGTACTACCACTATGGAAAACAGTGTGGCAGTTCCTCAAAAAATTAAAAATAGAACTACTACATGATACAGCAATCCTGCTTCAGGATATTTATCTAAAATAATCAAAATTCAGATATCAAAGATATATGAAATATTATCACTCTTAGATAACTGCAGCACTATTCACAATTGCCAAGACACGGAAACAACCTAAATGTCTGTCAATAGATGAATGGATAAAGAAAATGTATGGTTGGTGTGTGTGTGTGTGTTTGCGCGTTATATGTATACAATATATCTGGGATTATATATTATATATCTATATATATGAGACTTGTATCATATATATAAATGTATATATGATACATGATACATTTAGACATTCACACATCATACATATATTTATATATGATATATGCATCATATATGTATATATCTATATACATGTGATACGTGTGTGTGTGTGTGTATGCATAAAATGGGACTGCATTCATCCTTGAAAAACAAGGAAATTCTACATACACTATGCAACAACATGAATAAATCTTAAGGACGTTATGTTGAGTGAAATAAGCCATTTGCAGAGAAATAAACACTGCATGATTCCACTTATATAAGGTATCCATAATAGTCAAAATAATAGAATCAAAAAGCAGAATGGTGGTTTCCAAGGGCTAGGAGGGAGCAAAACGGGAAGTTACCAATCAGTGGATATAAAGTTTCTGTTAGTTAAGAAGAACAAGCATTAGAGATCTGCTGTATAACATTGTACCTATACTCAATAATAATGGATGGTAAATTTAAAAATTTAAGGGGATAGGCCTCATGTTAAATGTTCTTATCACAATATTAAAAAGTGAGAAAATTAAAAAATGACTCCTGAAAATCATGCTATTATTTTAAAAAAACCACGCTTCCACAAACATCGTTATTACTTTATAATCAAGTCAGAAACCATCCTTGAAACAAATTTATATTGAGGAATTATTAAGGGGAAAATAGAGATGGTTGTATAGTATGCTTCCCAAATTTAATTAAGTTATATAACAGGAAGATGGAAACAGAATTCAAAAAGCATATCTACCAGCTGGTTCTCCTTTAAGAATGAACATATGAAAAGATAATATTCAGTAAAACTTGAGGAGTTAAGTCAATACTTTTTCTCAGATATTTTGGTAATCATTTTATACCTCTTGGTTGTAATATTCAGAATAAATCCAAAATGAAAAAACACATTTTTTCCTCTAATATTAGGTCAATAAATAATCCTGATGTTAACATAACTTAAACTGTCATAGTAATATCAACAAACGTTTTAAAAATCCTTTTACTTAAAATGCATATAACAGCATTTTGAACTGCAGTTGTTTTTTGTTTTAAACAACTGTATAAACTTTAAAATACATTCTTACATCATTTGTGCTTTAAACATGATTTATATTATTTGAAAAAAAATTTTGACTGAGGGTTGTCTAAAATTCCTTTCCCATTTAAAAAATGCATGTTATTCTAAGGTACAATTAAGTAAAGAAAAGATAAATGCATACCAAAAAAGAGATAAATTAAGTGAACCATTATGACGTGGTCTTTTCAAAGTAGAAGTGGGGATTAGAAGACTAGAGCTATCTGCAGAGCTGTATGTGAGAAATAATACTTCTTTGACATTTCCATCTAATTTAGAATAGCTGTCATTCTAGATAACTAAATATTTCCAGTGATTCTATAAACATAAACATGCTGGGGATAAGCTCCATATTGTCAGCATGGTTACATCCTTATGACATAGTCCATTGTTTCTCAAAGTAACTAAAATTCTTAGTGAAATGTTAAATTTAAATGAAGGATGAAAATGCTAATACATCACTGCAAATAAATAATGGTTATTACAGCACATGTGGCTCTGGTGAATAGCAGAATTTATCACAATTAAATTAGGAATTAAATATGAGCTTAGGAAAATAATTTGATTATTAGGTTGGATACATACTGTACCAGGCCGCGGATAAGGAATTCTCCCATCATACTGCACCCAACGATGGTCTGCACTTTCCTTATGAGCATACGGACCGTTAAAAACTGCTCTGATGTCAGCCATGCTATACACACAAACAGCAGAGCCTTTGAAGATGGAGCTGAAAAAATAAGCGACATCATTCAATCATTCACTGATGAATTCAATAAACATTGATTGAGCACATATTACCAGCAGGTGCTGTGGACAAAATTTACTTAGCACATTAAATTTGACGAGCACTGTAGACACAATGTACCTATGTCCTCAAGTGGCTTATAGCCAAGCAATTCTAAACAAGGTGCAATAATAACTCCATTGCCAGTAAATATGGTAAGCAAAGTAGAACATGCATGGGTACCCAGTATTGGGCTGCCAACTAAGTTTTCAGGGAGGAGGTGTCATCTAAATTGACACCTAATAGATAAACAGAAATTATCTAAAACAAACCCTGGAGGATAAAGAGGAATATATGCATGAAAGATTGTTATATTTTTCTATATGTTCTTCTATTTTATTTAAAGTTATCATAGTGTAATGCATTTCAAAGAGCTTACAAAATAAAAAAGTGATATTATTTATTTTAAAAATAATTATTTAAATATTTTAATAATAATACTCTCATTTGTTTTCTTACAATGAATGAATATCTATAAACATTATTTGCTAAATTACTTATATGATTTTTATTAAACTGATTTTAAAATGTTGAAACAATCTTTTTCTTTTTGGTCCTCCTTAAATTTATGAGTTTATGTATTACAGCAGCTCATCTGATACTTAAAGTAATTAAAATTACACAGGATTAGAGAAAGTATTAAGAGGCAAAAAACTCCATAGGAATTTTTTCAAATTTTTGCAAACTAATAAAAATGAACACTAATCAGATGTCTTTTTATTTTACTTTATTTCTAGAAATTAAAAGATACTTTCTTTGAGTTGAAAACTTTTAATCATTCCCATTTTCAAAAATGAGATCACCCTTTATGATCTAAGAAATATATTAAACATCTTAGCATTAACAAGCTAATGATTCTCTAGCATGGAAACTCAATTATTAATATTCTTGGAGTGACAGTAATGGGAATCTTTAGAGAGGTAACAGTAAATAGGTAGGTGGGAGAAAAGTAGCTGCTGAGAATAGAGGTGGTGTTGCCACAAAAATCACAGAACCTGCCCAGGATATTTTAAAGGTATGATGCCTCATGCTTAATGGCATTGCCATTATTGCAGGTTAATTATGTCTTCTTGCTGGACAAAGGATGTGATATACATTCCAATGTCACCTTGGTCTTTAGGATGGCATTAAAAACAAACCAATAAAGTATAAGAAGAACAAAGAGCTAACTTGTAACTTCAAACTCTGGGTGGGCAGAAACTTAATAGGAGAAAAAAATGAACTATCTTGGGGCTATATTTTCCTGGCACATATCCGTGCCTTGTGTGTGGAGCACAGTGACTTCAAAGAAAGTGCTGCAATTGGAAAGGTGCCAATGGAACTGGGATTGAGATACTTGACTAGAGGCACTTCTTATACCTTTTTACATTAGGATATAAATTAACAGAAAAATGGAGTCCAAAATAGCAGCTTCCTAGGAAATCGTCTTTATTCTCATATTTAAACATTCACATCCTATATCTTATAATTAACCAAATAGTGTTTTGTTTTCTGATATATTCTGAACCAGCAGTGCATTTCAGTTTATGAATAAGGTATTGTGAACTAAATGAGGATTGTGCCACAGAAAAAAAATTATATTGTACATATAAATAGATTAAAAATTTATTCACTAGGAGGCAGTAAGACCTTTTCTTCAGTACCAATATCAGTATCTTCAATTCCTTCTATGCTGATGTCAATATACATTGATAACGATTGAGAGCAAAACTGGAAAATATGAAAACTATTTCCAACAATGTAGGCAGTCATAGGGAACAGGAGTAAGGGTGTGCTTTGAACATAGTTAAATTTAAATTACTGGAATCAATAAATTAAGGCAGGGGCTACATAATTAGTTTGAGAAAGTTCATAGAGCTAGTATAACTTTTTTTTTTTTTTTTTTTTTTTGAGACAGAATTTCGCTTTTGTTGTCAAGGCTAGAGGTGCAATGGTGCAATCTTGGCTCACTGCAACCTCCGACTCTCAAGTTCAAGTGATTCCTGCCATCAGCCTCCCTGAGTAGCTAGGATTACAGGTGCCCACCACCACACCTGACTAATTTTTTGTATTTTAGTAGAGATGGGTTTCACCATGTTGGGGAGGCTGGTCTAAATCACTCCTGACCTCACCTGACTAATATTTTGTATTTTTAGTAGAGATGGGGTTTCACCATGTTGGGGAGGCGGTCTCAAACTCCTGACCTCAGATGATCCACCTGCTTTGGTCTCCCAAAGTGTTGGGGATTACAGGCGTGAGCCATCACGCCAGCGATGCTAGTACAGCTTTTAAGGAAGTCAGAAGGTCTCAATGATAAAGTACATGAGAGCATTTATGCAAAAAGAAGACAAAAATACAGGAGTAGAAAACATGAAATTATCTTCATTTTCAATCTTTTTTTTTTTTTTTTACTACTAATAGGCTGCTTCTCTTTGAGCAAGTAATGTAAACATTCTTTGCCTAAATTAGTAAAGCGGTGAAATACTCATAATAGCCACACCTATCTTTGTAGGGTAACTGGGAAATGATAATAGGATAGCATGTGATGATGTTTTAAAACTTAAGAGTGTCCCATCTCATGATTATAGCCTTAAAAATGAACTTAACCATTTACCCACGTATTTCCTTAGTACTATCAGTATGACACATATCTTGGAATTATGATAATTAATATATGCAAACAACTTTTTTTTTTTTTTTTTTTTTTTTTTTTTTGGTGAAAGGGTCTCTCTGTGTCACCTAGGCTGGAGTACAGTGGTACCATCATGGCTTACTGCAGCCTCCACCTCCCAGGCTCAAAGAGTCCTCTGACCTCAGCCTTCTGAGTAGCTGGGACTACAGACATGTGCCTCCACGCCCAGCTAAATTTTTTTATTTTTATTTTTGTAGAGACTGGGTCTCACTGTGTTGTCCAGGCTGGTCTTGAACTCCTGAGCTCAAGTCATCCTCCCCTTGGACTTCCAAAGTGCTGGTATTATAGGAGTGAGCTGCTGAGCCCGGTCTGCATATGCCTTTTGTACACAGAAAATTTATTTTAGGATTTTATCTCACAGATATATTTGTTCCTACGGGGAATGGCATTTGAACAAGATTAGTCACTGAAGCATTATATGCAAAAGTAGGAGTTTGGAAATAACAGAAATGTCCACGTTCAGATGACTGGTTAAATAACTTGTGGTAATTATTATAGCGAATGCTATGCTGGTGTAAAAAGAAAAAAATATATGATTTTTACATTGATATTAAATGATTTTTAAGGAACATTAAGTAAAATGGTAAAATGAAAAAAAAAATGTTTACGACATGCTACTACAAAGGCAGGGACAAAAAGATCCTATAACTATATTGGCTTGCATACATATACAATTCTCTAGAAGCATTAAAAGCATTTTGTTGAACATACCTGGTTGTAGTAAAGACTCCGTATACTACAGGATTTCTTTCATCTCTTGTGGGGAGTAAATATATATCTTCTATTAAAGGGAAAAAATAAATATTTACTCTTATTTTTCAGTATTACATTTGCTTTTTTGTTAATAATACAACTGAAACTCTGAAAATCTAAACAGTTTATAAGATTAAAATAACAGAGGCACTATATTATGTCTTGAGAAATCAAATATAAGATTGTTTTTTTCTCACTGACTATGTATAATATGGTACAATTGATAATCTCTAAGGCAGTTTCCAATTAGAAATCTTTGATTTCATAGAAAATACAAATCAAAAAATAAGCAATTTTTACCCTCTAATGTAAAAGTTCTGTCCTATAATTGTGTCATTAGTAATTAATTTACCTTTTTTTTTTTTTTTTTTTTTTTGATGGAGTCTTGCTCTATCACCCAGGCTAGAATGCAGTGGCACGATCTTTCCTCACTGCAACCTCTCCCTCCTGGATTCAAGCAATTCTGCTACTTCAGCCTCCCAAGTAGCTGGGATTACAGGTGCCCACGACCAGCCCGGCTACTTTTTATATTTTTAGTTAACAGACAGTTTGAACTTCTGACCTCAAGTGATCCGCCTACCTCCGCCTCCCAAAGTGCTGGGATTACAGGCGTGAGCCACCACGCCCAGCCTCATTTACTTATTTGGTAACCGTAAGGAAATAGTTACCCCAAAATTAGTGCAGTATTGACAGTAAGTTATGTGCGAATAATATTCTTTAAAAGATTAAGATGTGAATGTGCTTACACACAATATGAGAGGTCATCCATGATTACTCAATATATACTTTAAGCTTGTAAAATACACAATACTGATGAAATAATTTAATGATACAGATTATCATTTATACATTACATGGCAAAAACAAGTTCAAGAAGCTAAAAGCTAATAATGCTAACATTATACACAACCAAAAAAGAAAAAAAATCATTCTAGGACTTGGAAGGAGTTTTTGAGGGAGTGAAGAGGAGAAGTGAAATAGAAGAAGCTGTCTACTGCTTGTGCTTATTCTTTTCATCAACAAGTCGGAGGGACAGTGTTCACCAAATCTCCTGTACTTGCCAGCAGAGGGCATCCGTGGAACAAGGAATTCAACTTTTCCTACCTATAGAAGGTGGCTCCTTTGAAAATGAAAGACTGCACAGAGAATGGATGAACTTTGTAGTTTCAGAGCTCATACCTTTCTGTGTCTTGCTGGAGTTTTGTTTCCTTCACTTACTTTGAGGACTCTTACAAAGAGAAGAGTTACTGCATTACTACGTGTGCCCAGACCTAGAGCACTTCCGTGTACTTTGCGTGTGAATTTCAGTAAGAACCACTCCTGTAAGGTTTGCTCAGCTATAATTAATCAGGCCAAATTGGAGCCAAAGGGAAACAAATGCCAAGTTACTTAATTAGGCACTAAGGCTTTTCCAAGAAAGGAGGAAAGAAGGAACTTACGAAGCTCATCAAAGTAAGTATCTGCCCCATCACTTCCAGGAATTGAGCAAATCAATCTGGCCTTAAGAAAAGTCGTCCACTTGTTTATCAGGCTGCGTTGTCCTCCTACATCATTCTGACATGGAAAAACAAAACAAAACAAAACAAAAACAAAAGATAAATATTTACCAGCACAATTCTTTCATTCACGAAAACTGGTAGCTATTACAGGTATTACAGTGTTTTATTGATGCCATTGTTTACAAAGACACGGGATCCAGATATTGAATCCTTGAACTTTAAAATAAGGGAAAAGATAGTATATGCCCTCAATCTTAAATGTTTTTCTCATAGTTAAATGAATTCAATACAAGCAATTCAGCTCTACTGGATGAGTAGATGCATATAAGGTAATAGTAAAGGCAACTTGAAATTAAATCCCACCTGCCAATTTTTTTGCTTCATAACTTGCAAGAGACTATTTATTTTTTTTAAGTCTCTACTTTCTCATTGATAAAAATGATAAATCTCTTGAAATATGGTTAGATAATTTTGTTGTTGTTTTTCAGAGATGAGGTCTTTCTATGTTGTCCAAGCTGGAGTGCAGTAATTATTCACAGGTAAGATCATAGCCTCAAACCCCTGGGCTCAAGTGATCCTCCCACATTAGCCTCCTGAGTAGCTGATACTACAGGTGCATACAACTGTACCCAGCTGAAATACGGTTAGTTTGATGAGTAAATGGGGAAAAAAAAGTCTATAAAATGCTTAGCCTAGTCCCAGGCAACTTGAGTTCAATGAATGCTAGTACTGGCTTGTATAGTATTTATAGGATTAAAAATAGTATTTGTAGCCTTTAGCAATATGTCTCTTTATAGACTTAAAAGTCTTTTTCAAATTTAATGTCTTACTGATTAAACATCAATGCAACATAAACATATGCATAATAATACATATATAAAAACCATCCTTTTGCCTATAATCACAGCACTTTGGGAGGCTGAGGCAGGAGGATCAGTTGAATCCAGTAGTTCCAGACCAGTACGGTCAACATAGTGGGATCTCATCTCTACAAAAATTAGTCATGTGTGGTGGTGTGTGCCTGTAAGCCCCGCTATTCAGAAGGCTGAAGGAGAAAGATTGCTTAAGCCCGGGGGTTCGAGGCTGCAGTGAGACAAGGTTGTGCCACTGATTCTAGTCTGGGTGACAGAGCAAGATCCTGTCTCAAAAGCAAACAAAACCAAAACAAATCTTTTAAATAAGATTTATCTATATTTTCCGTACTTTATTTTTACTCTGAAATGATTCATTAAAAATGTTCTTTAAGCATTTAGCAAAACATAAACACTTAAGTCAATTACACAATAAAAAAGATTACAGGCCGGGCGTGGTGGCTCACGCCTGTAATCCCAGCACTTTGGGAGGTCAAGGTGGGTGGATCACGAGGTCAGGAGATCGAGACCATCCTGGCTAACACGGTGAAACCCTGTCTCTACTAAAAATACAAAAAATTAGCCGGACGTGGTGGCGGGCGCCTGTAGTCCCAGCTACTCCGGAGGCTGAGGCAGGAGAATGGCGTGAACCGGGAAGGTGGAGCTTGCAGTGAGCCGAGATCGCGCCACTGCACTCCAATCTGGGAGACACAGCGAGACTCTGTCTCCAAAAAAAAAAAAAAAAAAATTCACAGTATTCAATAATTCAGCATAAAAATGTATATTCTCATTTTTAAATTAATATACTCTGTGTCCCCACCCAACTCTCATTTTGTAGCTTCCATAATTCCCACATGTTATGGGAAGGACTCTGTGGGAGATGATTGAATTATGGAGGTGGGTCTTTCCCATGCTGTCCTCGTGATAGTGAATGGGTCTCACGAGATCTGATGGTTTTAAAAACAGGAGTTGCCCTGCATAAGCTTTCTTTGCCTGCTGCCATCCAGGTAAGATGTGATTTGCTCGTCGTTGCCTTCTGGAATGTGAGGCCTCCACAGGCATGTGAAACTGTGAGTCCAAGTAAACCTATTTATTTTATAAATTCCCCAGTTTCCAGTATGTCTTTATCAGAAGCATGAAAACAGACTAATACACCTGTGAACACTGAATAAGTATGATTTTTCGTTCATTTGACTCAACTAGCTCTGCTGTGCTTATGATAAAACTAATTTATTTAAATTACTACTGGAGCCTATCTTTTCCAATAATTTATTTACATTTAAGTATAAATTACATAAAATCATTTATCCTTGAATCAATCTATGCTCTGTAAAGTTAATGAGAAGTTAACTGTTAAGTTTCAAGTCTGAATATCTAGAAACTTTCTTCTTTTATCTCTGAAATTAAACTAAATTAGAGAAAGGCATTTAAATGACTACAACAAACAGGAGAATTTGAAATCATATAAATACTATGCATGAAGAAAGGGGGAAGGGAAGAAGGAAAGGAAACCAGAGACCAGAGGTATGTTTATAGCCTTAGCACCTAACACCACGGGCATCTATGGTATGTGATACCCAGAGTGAATCATTTTTTACATTCCTTTCCCACTAAACAAAAGATACATTTTCAATAATAGTTCTGTAAAACTCAGGAACAATTATTATTTTCTTTATTTGCTCCATAGTTTATAACACACAATTTTAAAATAATAACTTTGAAATTTAAAAGCAACAACACTCAATAAAATATTTCATGTACGAACTAAAAATTGGCACTTAAGGAACAAACTATCACATCTTATAGTTTGCACTATGTCTCACTGTTTTAAATTTTAAATGATTCCAAATCATTATGAACTTACTCTTGGAACACGTGTATAACTGAGTACATGTGTGCTGGCGGCTGACTATCCTCACAAATATCCATATATACACATATACATATACATAATAGATACACAGTAGTAAACAACAATTTAAAATCTAGACTGAAAAGACTCTTCTATGATTAGCATATTGTCACTGATACTGTTTACAATTACTGGCATGTGGTGATAATAAAAAGCACAATAATTTTTAATTGGTTTTTGAATAATTTTTAATTCTTGCTAGACAATGCACTCCCTAAAATTCCCTCCACTCAACTCCCGATATGTCACTAAATCCCTATCACTGTTGAATGAAGACATGATTAGTAGTTAATACATAACTAAGAATAAAAGACAAAATTGAAAAAATTTTCAGAATGGTATAGACTAAGGGCCAAGGAGTTTGAGTTTCCTCTAAAGTTTCATTATAGTGGGAAAATGGCAAAAGCTTCACTGAAGAGTTGGATTTAATGCTAACTTTTTACAATAATAGATGGGACCAAACTACATACGGAGAAATTGGTTCAGGAAATACACTTAGCGCTGGAAACTAGGGAAAAGGACAATGGGTGGAACAATCCAGCACATCTAGGGAGAATCAGGATAAACTGTGTTTAGTTGAAGACTGAGATCAATTAAAATAGTGAAGGAAAAAGTTATAAAAGTAAATTGGGGTAAGATCAAGGAAAGCTTTAATGCCAGGCCAGAGTGTCTGTATGTTATTAAGTTCACATGAAGAACTACTAAAAACTTTAGTAATTGGTAAGGAAGTTAAATAATCAGTTTCCTTTTAAGAAAATGCATAATATATTATATTCTATATAGTGACTCTCTTATAAAAAATGTCAGTAATTGCTCTTACATTTATATTTTATATACAATACCTTTATTATGAGTATCATTGTTAAAAAATAAAGTACATTTCAGCTAGTTATTGGATGATTACAGATGTCTGCAGATGCAGACAGATTTATCTAGATATGACTTATTTTTAATGCCAATATCCTCAGATCATTTATGAAAAAAAGTCTATACATTAATAAGAATGAGCAAAAATATTCAATCTTTCTCCTAATGTAACAATGAGTTCTGTGTTCACATATAGTAGGATTCCAGTGAGAAGATGTATAACTGGAATTATCAGAAACTAAGATAATTTTAAATAAATTTAAAAATATATTTCCCCATCTATTTCATGACCCTTGACTTAGATCTTTTTAAAGTAATATATCTAATCTTTACATTTTTCATCAGCTTTCTAGTTGTGCTAAGAAGATCACTGGTAAAAAACGATTTTATTTTAATGCATTCTTATATATTGATAGTATTTATTAAATTTTCTTTGCCTACATTTGTATGTTTTGAGAGGGTCAGCAGTGAATACTGAAAATAGTGTTGATTCAATAAATATAAACAAAGATATCAGTGATCATGAATATAATGCCAGAGACTCAAGTTTGGCTTACCCAACTCAGAATATGTGCTGAAATTATTTTGTTAAGTGAATACATAAATAAGCAGAATATCAGCTTAATGACATTCCTTTAACAGGCATACACAGTATTACTTCATAAAAATGAACAATTGTATCCTCTTTTAAACATTTTACTAAGTAAAAGTGACAATAAATGTTCATTTTCAAACATTGCCTCCCTTTCTATTTATAATTATCACTGATATTTAAGGTAACCATGAGAACATTCTAACTAGTAGAATAATCCTATCTAGATTTGAAGGACAGAGAAGGGATTTATACTGTACCTGCATTTCTTTTAACCTGATTTAAAAAAAAAAAAATGAAATTTTTTGAATGAAATAATCTTACCTACCCATCCTACAGCCTTCTCTAGCCCCTCAGAAATAAAAAGATAAAAAACCAAGACAAAACAAAACCAAAAAAAATCCAAGCCAAAGATGAAAGCCACCTGTGGTCAGAAGGGAAACAAATACAGTTCCCGAGATAATAGCACTCAGGAATGGATTATAAGCATTTAATGACTGGATAGTAACTCTTACAGACATCCAGAAGCATGACCTGAGATGGCAAAGTTCAACTCACAAGGAGTTGTATTTCTCCTGCAGGGAAATGTCAGTTGGGTGGATTTTGTTGACCAGTTTCTCAGTCTCTGGATTTGTTTGCATATCCACACAATCTCCTCTAAGAACTTTAAGCCCAGGAGAGGGCTGAAAGAGAGGTAACCACTTTTGTACTAAATTGTCACCTCTTTGCTTATTTTTGTGAAGTTCTAAAGAATACAACCATCTCACTAACACAACAGATTTATTATTAAGATGTCAAAATCAGCAGTTCTTAGTCACCAGTCACTTCTGTGA